GTTGGGGCTAGCGGCTGGCTGCGCGAGCGCGCGCCTGGCAGCGCCGATTTGGACCTTCCTGGGAGGGAAGACGCGTCCCCACTAGGCGGAGCGGGCAGAGGCCCTGGCTTGTGCGCTGCCGCCTTCTCCACTTTGAATTTTTATTTAGACGATAAGAGAGCAAAACTAAATTTGATCCAATGCTCTGGTCATTTCCATTGGTAAAGGTCCCCAACTAGGGCACCTGTCCCAGCCGTCTGCCGGGGACGCACATGTTGGTTTCATCCGAGTGCACCCCTGTATTCCAGGGGAATCTTCCTTCGCTGGATCCGCTCCAGCTCAGAGCCTCGCCCTACTCCTGAACCCTCTCTACAGAGGTCACGGAACCGGGGCGCCAGCCGGGTGACACGGGAGGGACTCTTTTCAAGGCGGAAGAATACTAAAGCACCAAGGATAACAACTTTTACAAGAAGGGGAAAGTCCCTTCTACTTTGGGCCCATTGGGCTTTTTTTTTCCCGTAAAACTTTTGCTAGGTACTTGTGTGCGTTCAGCTCACTAGCGGCCCAGCAGTGCTGGGTGGGGGACGACGGCAGTCCGGTGAGGCTGGCGGGAGTAAATGAGTCACTCGGGACCCTTGCCGCCGAGGGGCTCGGCCGCTTCCGGTCTCTCGGAGGAGGGGCGCCAGGGTTTGCAGTCCCTCTTGGCGTAAGGACTCCAGACTCTGGAATTATATTACGCTCCCTGATGTCCACTCCAAAATCCTGACTTCCCCACGCCCCCCGAGCCCAGGTTCTTCGACAGCCGCGTGGCTGAGTCACGGGCGGAGCTGCGCTGGGGCACGTGGCGGCGCTCTACGCCCGCCATCCCCTGACCTCTGGCCCGCGCCTCCCGCCCCGGGGTGGAAAAGTCCCGCAGGGAGCGGCAGGAGATAAGGGGGGGAGGGGGACGGGACTGGGACGCGACGGCAGGTGGGGATCCTTGGGTGGAGGCAGGCGAGGAGGGCGACCCCGAGGGGAGGGCCGACGGGGAGGAGCGCTTGAGTGCCGGCCGGCGAGTGAGTCACCCGCTCCAGCGCCGGCGAGTGAGAAGCCGAGGCGCCCCGGGACACCAGCCGGTCGGCCTGCCTGGTTTGCACGGAGCGCGGGACAGACCCCCCACACTCGCCCTAGACCCGCCAAAATAGAGAGTTACCAAGTGCAGAGTCTCACTTCCTGCGGTGCTGCAAAAGGATGGGCAGAACGGCCGCCAAAATGTCATCCCCTGCGAGCGTCCATTCATGTTTTTTTGCCCCCCACTCGTGATATAACACCATTCTTTGATAGTCAAGGCTTGAGTGCTGACGTGATCACTGTCGGAAAAGAGCTCCTGAGCACTAGGCTTCACGCTGGGCCCTAAGTGCTGCCCCCAGCACTATCTGCCGGGCGCCAGGCCAGTACCGGGCCAGTGCTGGTCTATATTCGTCCCTTGGCCTCTCTCATTGCCCTTTGCTGGCCAAGAGGGGTAGGGTGGAGTAGTGCCGAAATGGCCATTATGAGGACCCTGAGAGGTGAAAGCATTCGCCTTCTTTGGCGGAGGGGTGTCAACTTTAGACCACAGCGCTTGCTCAGCATCCCTGATTCCTTCCCCCAACCGTGTGGTCTGCACCGCCTGCCTCCGAGTGAGTGGAGCACGTGTGCATGTCAGTCTTGCAGCCCCTTTTCCAGGCCCCCTCCTCAGCCTGCACGGCTCAGATTACCCCTGGCCTTTCCTAAAGGGCACTAGTTCCTCTTTAACCTTTGCAGAGGGGCAATGTGAGCTTAAGAAGGGGACAGACTCGCTTATCAGAAGCCCCTCTCCCACTCCCTCAAAGAGTGGACTTCAAGTCGAGACTTCTATTGGGGGCAGAAAGAAAATGTACGAGGTCGTCATTAACTTTTGAGAAGGGGGTACCCAAGCCAGAGGCTTCTGCTTTAGGCAGTAGTGGGCATTTGGCTGCTGGCCTGGTGTGGAGGGGAGGAGGATGGGTTGAGAGAGGCGGGGCTGGCTGGGGGACAGAGTGGATTGGGGATAAATGCCCAGCCTGAAGGGGTGAGCTGACACTGTCCCAGCTGCTGCCACCTAGACGAGAAGCTTCATTCAAAGTCCCAGGGAAGAGTCACAGGTTTGATAAAACTTCAGTTACATGATGTGCAGGTGTGGGATGGTACTGGCTTGGAAAGGGAGGGAACTTTTGGTGCTTTTCTTCCTAGGACTGGGGTGCTTGAGAGAGAGTGGTCAGGCTGGAGCAAGCACAGTTGGGGCAAATACCGGAGTACTGTCGAACACGGGGAAGGAGGCTCTGACAAATGGGGAACCAGATAAAGAAGGCAGAATTACTCCGCCAGGCAGAGGATTTGGGAATGGGACAATGAGAAGCAGATAGGGTTGGAGGGCTAGGAAGATGCAGCTGGCATCTACTTAATCGGAAAAGTGGAAGGAGCCTGTGAAGGATTCAGGGAGGGGTGTCATCTGGGGAGTTATGAAGTTCTCAGTCCTTGCTTTTCAGGCTGGGAGGGTGGAACAAGAGCTGTTCTGAGTGGGGGAGGGTGGGAGAGGGGGCCGGCCCTCCTGCCTCTTTGGTCTGTGACCTTTTTATGGGGTATTTTTAGCTCCAGCACCTGCCTTCTTGGGGTGGGGAAGACTCTTAAAAGGGCAAGGGATTTCTAGTTCCTTAAGGGATCAGCTGTCCACCCTTGCTCACTCACGTCTCTCGTGGTGCAGTCATGGCCATGCAAAAAATCTTTGCCCGAGAAATCCTGGACTCCAGGGGCAACCCCACAGTGGAGGTGGACCTGCACACCGCTAAGGGTAACACAGGCCCATTGTATTGGTTCCCCTCAGAAAACCCCCAACCTCACCTGCTCCTTCCCAAGAGTCCCACATCCTGCCCTTTGTCAGACTTCCTCACAGACCCTCTTCTCTTCCTGGCCCCAGAGCTGGGAGAGGTGGGAGTTTCTCTTTATTTTCTCCTGTCCCTGGGTCCAGGGAGGTGACCCCAGGCCCTTGTGAATGGACTCCCTCTGATCTGCCAATCCCTCCTGCCCAGGTCGCTTCCGAGCAGCTGTGCCCAGTGGCGCATCCACGGGTATCTATGAAGCGTTGGAACTAAGAGATGGAGACAAATCACGCTACCTGGGGAAAGGTGAGTAAAGACCAACAGGAGCCTGTGGCGCAGATCCAGGAGAGAGGACCCCACATGGGAAGAGGCTAATCCCCTCAGAAATCTGAACCCTTTCTCTGGCCTCCAGGAGTGCTGAAGGCTGTGGAGCATATCAACAAGACCCTAGGTCCTGCTCTGCTGGAAAAGGCAAGTAGAGGAACCAGCTTCCCCTTCCCCTCCTCCTTGTGACCCTGTGCCTCACCCCAGGTAGCCCCACTCCAAATATTTTCACCTGTCCTTTATCCTGCACGTTATTGGCTCCTGAGAAATCGGACCTCTGCCTCTTCCAGAAACTAAGTGTTGTGGATCAAGAAAAAGTCGACAAATTTATGATTGAGCTGGACGGGACGGAGAATAAGTGTGAGTGGTGCCATGCCCAAGGGTGGGTGGGAGACAGTGACGGCTGGCGGGGTTGTTTCTGTGTCCCATCTTGGGGCACACCATAGCTGGATAGCCTTTATTCATTCTGCAGGCATTTCCTGATGCATGTCTTCTGCCAGGCCTGGCTGGCAGCAGACACATGTGAAACTGTTGGCCCAGAGAGGCGGGGTGAACTTCTGGAAGTCTGCAGGCCAGGAAAGAGATGAGTTAATGAAATCTTAATGTCCAGTGGTTTAGGAAGCTCCTTCCTGGGGTGACCAGAGGGATTGTTCAAGGAATTAACCGCAAAACCTATTTTCTCATCCTTTCTCCCTGTTTGCCTCCCTCTAGCCAAGTTTGGGGCCAACGCCATCCTGGGTGTGTCCTTGGCCGTTTGTAAGGCAGGAGCAGCTGAGAAAGGGGTCCCTCTCTACCGACACATCGCAGATCTTGCGGGGAATCCCGATCTCGTACTTCCTGTACCTGTGAGTGTGATTGCCCCTTCCGAATCCTTGCTCCAAAAAAGCACTTCCTGAAATGAACTCTCTTGGGCTGTGCTGTGGCCCCTCCCTCTTGAAGTTCCCCCTCCCTTACCAGGTCCCTTAGATCCTTCACATTCAGGGTCAGGCTGGTGCCTTAGACCTCATTTCATCTGAGTACCCCACTGCGCCAGTCAGATTTGAAAGCTCCTTAGAGCAAGGATATCAGCATTTCTGGGCATCCTCTGAGTCTGTATGAAGTCACTGCCCTCTTAAGTAGTAACTCTGAATTTTGTAGGGTGCAGAGAAAGCCCCGAATGTATGAAGTCCTGGGTGAATGTATATGTTGACGTGAATTAGCCTTGTCAAAGACCCCAGAGCCTCAGACCCAGGAGGCAAAGCCTTCCCCCCTGGGCTAAGATTCAGAGGCATGGTAAAGCCTGCCTTGGTGACCAGGTGCAAGTGTTGATGGTGTGTACATAATATGTTCACCGTAGCTCCCTCCTCCTTGGATGTGTACGGTCTGGAGACTGCTCCCCTCCAGAAACTGTTTTTACTGAGATCCCCTAACCCTGTCCCCCCGTCCCCTTAGTCCAGTTGTATACCATAAGTCCACCTCCTTGTTTACATGTATGCAATAACACTGCCAAGTCTATATAATAAATGTGCTGAGCTCTGTATAATAAACACATTAAGCTTCTACAGAGATGAGGTTTTCCCATCAGAGCTCAGTCTGTCCATTTCCCAGCTTTTCTGTCTGTGTGTCCATTGTCTGTCTTCTCTTCATTCCCTTGCTACCCCTGTCATTTCCATCTTTGGAGGCAGAATTTAGTCTCAATAATAATGTTACCATTTATTGTTACTTACTAGGAAGGTTGTGTTAAGAGTATGGGTGGTGGTGGTGCATGTCTGTAATCTCAGCGCTCGGGAGGCAGAGACAAGCAGATTTCTGTGAGTTCAAGGCCAGCCTGGGCTACAAAGCAAGTTCCAGAGAAATCCTGTCTCAAAATACAAAACAATAACAACAACAACAACAAAAAATAGAGTAAGGACCCTAGAGACATCTGCTGGTTTCAGCCCCTGGCCTTGCCTGTTTTCTAGTTGTGTGACCTTAGGCAAATTACTAACCTTTATGCCTCAGTTTCCTCATCCATAAAGAAGAAATTAATACAAGTTAAGTTACTAGAGATGTTTGAGAGTGAAACAAGCTAGTTTATTTAGAATGCCATAGGATTATTGTTACACATCAGGCACATGCTGAGAACTTTATGTTCTATTTCTCCTAAATTCCAGAAGAGTCACAGGGAAGCAGGCATTATCATTACTTTGTAGAAATGAGGGGAAGGCTCTGAGGAATACAATTACGCATCCTAAACCACTCAGCTGGTGAGCAGAGTCCAGCTTCCACCTCCAGTTCCCTCTCGCCATCAACCCCTCCTGCCACCTGGTCTGAGCACTGTCTCTTGTCTCAGGCCTTCAATGTGATCAATGGGGGCTCTCATGCTGGAAACAAGCTGGCCATGCAGGAGTTCATGATTCTGCCAGTGGGAGCCAGCTCTTTCAAGGAAGCCATGCGCATTGGCGCCGAGGTCTACCACCACCTCAAGGGGGTCATCAAGGCCAAGTATGGGAAGGACGCCACCAATGTGGGGGACGAGGGCGGCTTTGCTCCCAACATCCTGGAGAACAATGAGGGTCAGTGCGAGCATCCTGGGGCATAGACCACCTGGGTCCCCATGAGGAGGGAAGAGAGGCTGCAGATGCAGGGGACATTGGAGTCTCAGGTCATTTCTTGCTCCCCTTCTAGCCCTGGAGCTGCTAAAGACAGCCATTCAGGCAGCTGGTTACCCAGACAAGGTGGTGATTGGCATGGACGTGGCAGCATCTGAATTCTATCGCAATGGGAAGTATGATCTGGACTTCAAGTCACCTGATGATCCTGCACGGCATATCAGTGGGGAGAAGCTTGGGGAGCTGTACAAGAACTTCATCAAGAACTACCCTGGTGAGATTTCCAAGTGCTTTGCCCTGCCTTAGTCTTCTGCAGTTGCCTAACACGGGTTCTGGTATCTGACTCCACCGCAGCCTCCATTTAAGCTCTACTTGTCACTCCCCATCAGGTCCCCTCTCTAACCCCAATTATGCTCCTATATCCCTACCAGTGGTCTCCATTGAAGACCCCTTTGACCAGGATGACTGGGCCACATGGACCTCATTCCTCTCGGGAGTGGACATCCAGATTGTGGGAGATGACCTTACAGTCACCAACCCCAAGAGGATCGCTCAGGCTGTTGAGAAGAAGGCCTGCAATTGCCTACTACTAAAGGTCAACCAGATTGGCTCAGTGACAGAATCCATCCAGGCGTGAGTGTCTCCTGACTCAGGTTCAGAGCGGCCACCCTCAGCTCCAGCTCACCCACTGCTGCTGTTCTTGCCATAAGTCTACTCTTCCCTGGGAACCTGACTCACCCAAGCACTCTTAACCCCAAGGCTGTGACTAACCCTTGGCTTGTCCTCAAGACCTTTGCCACCGTGCTGTCATGTCCCTTTACCTTCTTCCCACACTGTGCTCCTCTTACTAACATCTTCTGACCACCCTCATCCAAGATCAGAAAACTCTCCTGCTTCCCAGAGAACTTGTGCCCACCGCCTAAAACAAAACGAAAGGTCTGCCTTGCCTGCCCCTGGCTTTCTTACTGAGGTCACATTAGATCTCATCAAATGTCCTTCCCACACAGCTGCAAACTGGCACAATCTAATGGTTGGGGGGTGATGGTGAGCCACCGCTCTGGGGAGACTGAAGACACTTTCATTGCTGACCTCGTGGTGGGACTCTGCACAGGACAGGTACTTGGCTTTCCTCTCCTGCATCTCTAACCAACCTTCCTTGGTTACCTTGGTATCACCCTGAGTTGAACAGCCTGTTCCTTTGGGACCCAACCCAATCCCTTTCCTACCTTAGATCAAGACTGGTGCCCCATGTCGTTCAGAGCGTCTGGCCAAATACAACCAGCTTATGAGGTATAGTGGGCACAGAGGTCTGAACTGTGGGGAGAGGAAGGCACTCCTAGGTGAGAAGGTAGCAGCTCTGACTTTTGTATTATAGGATTGAAGAAGCTCTTGGAGACAAAGCTGTCTTTGCTGGACGAAAGTTCCGTAATCCAAAGGCCAAATGAGAAGCTGGAGGCTCCAGGACTCCAAAGAACAGACAAGGCCTTCAAGCCCTTCTCCCTGAAATAAACACTGCCAAATGAGACCAGAGTGTGCTTCTTGGAAGGAGGGAGGGAAAGGATGACAGGAAGTGGCCAGGTGGCAAAGGAAGAGGCAGAGAATGACATGTAACCTGCTGTGACAGGAAGTGAGGGGCTGAAAGCTCAGTGGCTGTAAAAAGAGAAACCCACATTTTGGAATGAAGCTAGAAAAAGCCAATTCTGTGTGTGAGAAGGAGCTGGAGAGGTGTTTCTGGAATGAGGGAACAGCTACTGAGTGGGCAGCATGGATGGGGAGGGACTGAGGGTCCTGATGCTCCCAGCATGAGCGGGATCTGGAACAGGATGCCGCCAGACGGAGTGCTTTGTGGGTATAAATGGTAATGAGATCATTCGCCACTTCAGCAGCGCTTGAGGATCTGGAAGTGCTCACAGCACTTGACACTGCTGACCTGCATACGCTTAGGAACAGTCCTACCAGACATTTACCATCCTTGTCCCTTTTTCACACACAAGGAAACCAAGACACAAAAAGTAAATTATTCCTTATTCAACACAGCAGAGTTAGCAACTGGTAGAGCCAGGACACAAAGTCAGGGCATCTGGCTTTAGCCTTAAAATACTGTATCTTAGCTGGGGGTGGTGACTCACTCTGTAATCTCAGGCCTTGGGAGACAAAGCTGGGATAACAAATTTCAAGGCAGTTTGGACTATGTAGTAAGATCCTGTCTCAAAATTCCAAGCTTAGGGGGTTTGAGAGATAGCTCAGTGGTTAAGGGCACTTTTGTTCTTATAAGCACCAGGGTTCAGTTCCCAGTACTGACCTGGTGGCTCACAACTATCAGTAACTCCAGTTCTAGAGGCTCCAATGCCCTTTTCTGTCCACCACAGGCACCAGGCACGCACATGGTGCACATCTTTACGTGTGGGTAAAACACTCATAAGTTTAAAAATACTCTACCCCAACTTAGTGATAAGAATGCTTGCCCAGTTCACGAGGCCCTGATTCTAGCACCATGAAATATGTAAAAATAAACCTGGAAGTCACAATAACAGTGCTAATAATTGGCTATCTTTAGCTTATATAAACAGCAACTTTATACTGTTCGATCTAAAATTACTCTCTTCTTTGCCTATGGACCTAGTATCCACATTTCTATGTATAAATCAGAACATTGGGTCAAACAGTGTTTATTCAATGTAAAGTAACCCCAGCCCCATGGGGAAGAAAGTTCCAAGGATAATAGAGAATAATACAGATTAAATACGCACCCACACATTTGTACTCGTCACACACACACACACACACACACACACGCACGCACGCACGCACCATTCATACAGCCAAGTTGCAGCAGTGATAAACACCTGCTTCTCCTCCAGCCTGAGTGACAGCTGGTAGAACCTCATAGTTTAGAAGTGGGGCTTCAGGATGGGTCCTGATAGCAGCAGCCTATTCCTCCATGCCCCTGCCTTGCTGGAGGTCAAAGGGGGTTGGGTGCGATGCCTAGGAGGTAGGTGGTAACTCTTCCCCACTCTGCCGCAGACGTTTCTTGGCTCGGATTTCATTCATGGCCTCTTCTATGGAGCGTGTGTCCCGCTTGTTGGCCACAGGCACTGGCAGCAGGAGGGGAGAGTGGGCAAGACCTCAGTCTCTGCTCCCCTCCCCCAGCCATGCTCTCCTCATGCCTCCCTAGCTCCCACCACGGCTCACCACAGCCATAGGTCTTGTTGGCCTGTAGCATGTGGGCTGCATCTTTGGCTGCTCCTTTGCCAATAAGGTGGCTATACTTGTCCTTGTAGTCGCTAGCAGGGCTCACCACCACAGGTCCCTGCTGGGCTGCCTCCTCCTCTTGTTTCTGAGCCAGCTCCTAACGGCACAGAGATGGGATCTCACCCCAGCTGGCCTCATTCAGATGACAGTTATAGGTTCCAGGGCATAGCTCACCTTTAGCTTCCGTTTCTCCTCAGCCTTCTGGGGGTCCCACTCTTCTCCATGACGGTAGGAGTCCAGCTCTTCATCTGAGGGTGCAAATTCCTGGGGATGAAGGGAAAGGTAGAATCAGAGGTCCAAGGATATGTGTGATCTCATTCCTCTCCTCCCTCAGGTAGCAGGGACAGGCGAAGAGGAGAGGCAGGAACCCAGGCTTTTTACCTTTTTGAAGATCATGACATAGCGACAGTCATCGTCTTCTCCAAAGGAGAAGGATGTGAGACCTGCCACTTCTACTACATCATGCCTGGGAAGAGAAGGCACAAGACAGTGTGGTGAGCCATGAGGGGACCTGTCCCCACTGGCTCCTCCATGTCCATCCACTGCCTATTTCTTGCCTCCTCAGGCCGAGAGACACTCACAGTATGCTTCTCTCTATCTTGTTCATAGGCTGAAACTTCTTCTTGACCTGTCCACTGTCCTGGATAAAATCAGACACCTCTTTCTCCATCTTAGGAAAAACAAAAGGAGGAGGACATGAGATGATAGCTCCACCCAAAACTCTCCTGGGCCGATGGTCTTTTTAAACCTCCCGCTGCTCTCCCAAGTCCCGGGCCACTGGCTGTCTGGAGCACTGTCAATACAACCAAGTCCTCAGTCTTCCAACTCTTACTGCAAGTCCTTCCAGAAGCTGCCTTTGAGCTCTCCAGTTGCTCTCACCCTTTTACGAAACTCCACTTTTTGTTGTTTGTCTTGCTCTTGTAGTTTCTTCAGGCGGGCAGCCTGCTCTAGGGTGAGAAAGGGCAGCATGAGGGTAAGGCTGAAGGATGGGTAGTGGTGGTCGGGCTCCCAAGAGCCCCTGCTAACCACCAGAAAGTGTGCTCGGACAGCAGATACCACTGATTCACCAACTATTCTCTGATGTTCCCCCATAACACACCTGACATGGTGCTAAGCCCAGAGTACCAAGATGGCTGCAACAATTTTCCCCTTCCAGGGCTCGTGCGGTGGGAGCCATGAAGACTGGACTCACACACACACTTCACTTACCAACCCCACAAGAAAGCCAATTAGCAGTCACTGAATGCCCAGAGTACAAAGGAACTATAAGGCGCCTGAGGAATAAGGATGGCATCAGTGTCAGGTTTCTCAACTCATTATCTACAGGCAAGGGGAATTATTTAACTTTATATCTCTATGTACAATCATTATTTTGGAGACATTTCACTATGTAGCCCTGGCTGGCCTAGAACTCACTATGTAGATCAGGCTAGCCTTAAAATCAGAGACATCTGCTTGCTTCTGCCTCTGGAGTGCTGAGATTAAAGGCATGCACTCCCACAACCAGCTTTTAACTTCATACATATTAGACAAATTGTAGAGACAGAGTTTCTCTCTATGTAAACCAGACTAGCCTTAAACTCACAGATCAGCCTGCCTCTGCCTCCCCAGCGCCAGGTTTAAAGGTATGTGCCACCACTGCCTGGCAAAATTCCTATATTCTATAGTGCCCCCTCACATACTTCTAGGGCCTGGATGATGCTGAAAGGGCTAATCTAATGCCCTTCTTACCTGTCCTGTTTTTGCTTTGTTTCTTTGTCAACTTGTAACAAGGTAGAATTATCTGAGAAGAAGGAACCATAATTGAGAATGCCTCCATAAAACTGGCCTGTAGCTGGGCAGTGGTGGTGCACGCCTTTAATCCCAGCACTCAGGAGGCAGAGGCAGGTGGATCTCTGTGAGTTCAAGGCCAGCCTGGTCTACAGAGCTAGTTCCAGGACAGCTAGGGCTGTTACACAGAGAAACCCATTCTTAAAAAAACCAAAACCAAAACCAAAAAGAAACAAACAAACAAAACAAAAAACAAAAAAGAAAACAAAAAAAAAAAGAAAGAAAATGAAGAAAAGGCAGGCTGGCGGTAGCACCCCGCAGCTTCAGTTCCTTCCCTGACTTCCTTCGATGATGGGCTGTGATGTGGAACTAAGCTTTTCTTTTCCAAGCTGCTTTTGATCAAGTTGTGTTTTATTACAGCGATAAAAACTCTAACAGAAGCTGGATGGTGGTAGTGCACGCCTTTAATCCCAGCTCTTGGGAGGCTGAGGCAGGTGGATCTCTGCGAGTTCTAGGCCAGCCTGGTCTACAGAGTGAGTTCCAAGATAGGCTCGAGTTACAGAGAAATCTTGCCTCGAAAAACCGAAAACAAAACCAAAAACAAACCCTCTTAACAAAGACAGAAACTGGCATCAGAGAGTGGACTACTGGTGTAACCAGTCTGGCAATGGTTTTTTGGGGTTTTTTTTGTGGGGGGGAGAGGTATGGAGGGACTGTAGAAGAAATTTAGAACTTTGAGCTATAATGTCCATTAAGTACTTTCAGTCATGTTGTTTTACCACAGCAACAGGAACCCTAAGACATCACCCTTTTTTTGTTTTGTTTTGTTTTTCGAGACAGGGTTTCTCTGTAGCTTTGGAGCCTATCCTGAAACTAGTTCTTGTAGACCAGGCTGGCCTCGAACTCACAGAAATCCCCCTGCCTCTGACTCCCGAGTGCTGGCATGCACCACCACCGCCTAGCTAACATCACCCTTTTCTTTTGGGGGTATAGGTGTCCAAAGTTAGTTAAATAAACTCTCCTCTCTTCCTGAATGCTCCTACCCTTCCTCAGATCCAGCCTTTATACCAGATCACCCCTCTGCCCTTAGTGCACAGACATGACTTTTCAAAAGGGGTTTGCAGAAGATTGAACTCAGGGCCTTAGACCTAAAGATGAGCTCTGCCACTGAGCTACAGCCCCGACAGCAACGCCTGCCCGCCCGCCTGCCTTCTCTCCCTAGGCACAACTCTGAGACTGGATCTAACTCTACATCCCAGGCTGGCCTCAAATCTGCAGACCCACCACACTAGCCTAGAGACTGACGGATGTGGTAGTGAGGCTTGAAGCTCAGGCCTTGCACATGGTAAGCACGTGTTCTACCACTGACTGAACAACATTCCCAGCCCTCAGACCACTTTTAACCTGGTCCCTTATCCTGTCTCTTCTTCCAGGATGAGTTTGCTGCCTCTTGTGATTCGGCATGCCTCTTCTGTCTGTTCCTTGACCTCAAATGGCCCATCTTCTTTCTTTTGGCATTTCAAAACCCTAGGCTCACTTCTTCCACAGGGCTGGAGTCCCCGAAGTGGCACTGAACCTCTTCCTACTTCCTAGTTATGTCACGCCTTTGCACCTGTCCTCCCTTCTAGCTGGAATGCTTTTCCTCCTCTTGCCAACACTGACCTCTCTCCGGGAGTCAAGACTTCTCCCTGTAGATTCCAAGCATATTCACTGATAAAGACACTTTTTTTTTCTTTTTTCCTGTTTCCCCAGCATCTCTCCTTCCAGGCTCTAAGCAGCTGGAGGGCAGGGCCCCTGCTCACCTCCTGTCCAGTTACACTTCAGGGCCCAGGGCCTGACAGGCCGGGCTCTCACCTCTGACTTCGCTATCTTCACCATCCATTGTTTTCTAGTTGGTTTCCCAGGCTTTTTTGCATCTTGGGAGATGGATCAAGAGTAAGCTCAAGAACATGGGCTAAAAATGTGACTAAAAAGTCACAACTGGGTTCCAAATTCAGCTACTTAGTAAGCCGAGACCAGGCAAGTGACTGGAGCCCCCTATTTCTATCTGCTGGTGGGAGTTCTCCTGTCATTCACCTGAACCTAAGTGATTCCAACTGTTTCCTATTAAGCTCCGCTTTTCCGGAGGTTCCAAACAGACTTCATTCTCTACTGAATTACCTATTCTTTGGTGCTCAGCTCATTTCAGACAAGTTTGGGAGCCCCCCAGTTAATCTCTCTTACCTATATATTTCTCTCAAAGCACTTAACTGGTTATTAAGGTTCTTTACGATCATTCGTAAACGTCTCAGACATGGTCTGTAATCTCCCTGATGGGTTTCTTGGGCTCCACAAGTTTTGTAAATAAGGGACTACAGATAATTAACGGTCCTTGAACATTTTGAAGGCATCCTGCCTGTCCTGCCTCCTTTGGGCAGATGGGGAGCAGGTACCAGGTATGAGATTTGTCCATGGTCAGGGTCCACATTGTTGGGAACTGGGTGCACCCTGGCTGTCCTTCCTCTAGGGTCCTTCAGACGCCAGAGTGTGAGCCAGCACTGAGTAGGCCTCTTTGGGCCGCGCCCTACTCTGGCTGCCAAACTCCAGCAAGCTTTCTGGTTAGCTACTCAGCACTGGGGAGCCACGGGCGAATCGGAATCTGCAGGCCATTCTCATCCCTCCAATCAACATCACGATCCGGTTGGGCAGCACAGGAATTTAAGAATAGAGTTGGGAAAGGGCTCTTGAACAGAGGTATGAGGGACTGGGTTAACTCAAGGAGGAGGGGCATAAAGAAAGGAGGCTCCAGTTAACCAATGGGAGGTGCTGTGGTTGAGGCCGGTCAGAAGGAAGGAGAAACACTTCGAGGTAGCGCTTGAAGTTGAGCTAGCCAATAGAGGAGAACAGATTGTGGATGGGCGTGCCCTAAACCTAATCGTAATAGAACTGGAGGTACGCGGGCCCGCAGCGGTGGAAACGACGTCCTCCAATCGGAAGAAAGGCATCCTACTAATCAGAGCTCGCCAACAGCAGACAGGCGGGCCCGTTGGCCAATCGCAAGCAAGGACTGCAGAAGGCCAGGATGGGAAGGAGCGGCAGGAGGCAGGAGACAGGCTGAGGTAGCCAATCATTGTCTGCAAAGAGCAGCGGGCGGGCCGGCAGGCCTTTTAGGGACTCTGAGGGTCTCAAAAGTGGCCTGTGAGGGTCTTTTAGGGCAGGAGGTGGCATTGTTCAAGGAGGGAAGAGTGTGGTCCCAAGAACAGGGCGCAGATACGCGGTTGTGGATTTGGGAGCCTCACCTCGGGCCTTGCGCCGACTCTCCTGGTCACCGACGCTGGGTGGCTTCTCCATGGAGCTCAGGATGGAGCCCAGTAGGTCCGCCATCTTGGGAATAACTGAGAGGGGGCGGTGCGTCTTAAAGGGAAGGGCGAAATGCCTTTAAGGCCGGAAACACGTCGGAAGCGGAAAAACCGCGCTGCCCCGCCCCGCTTCAGGCAGCCGAGCCCAGGCCGGCCGACCGACTTGCGTGGCGATCTTCCCGCCCCACCCCCAGCAGACATAGGCCGGAGGCTAGCTGGTGCAGAGATGTTTAATGGCAGTTCGTATAAACCAAGCCCATGCACAAATAGAAAGTGCTCGTGGAGCCAGCCGGGGGGGCCCCCGCCGCGCCAGGGAACCAGACGCCCGGCCGCGCAGCGCCTTAAATAGATTCTTCACTATACTCTGTATGTTACAGTATGTACAAACCCCTCCCCATGGGAGCGGGACTCCGCCTCGCGATCCTATGTACACCCCCTCCTCTTTGGAACCCGAGGTGGGTGGCCAGAGTCAGGGTGATGGGGAAAGACAGGGCCAGGAAAGGAGGAAACAGACGCAAACATGCGGAGTCAGGGTGGGGCAGTCACCCCTGAAACACGAGGGCGCGCGCAGCGAAGGCAGTGGTGGGGACCGAGGCGGATACATTCATCATAGACTCGTCTCGTCGAACAAATAAATAAGGCAAGTCAGGAAGGTCCGAGTCAGGTGCAGGCAGGAGCGGGGTTATGGAGAAGGTGCAGGCAGGGCTCCGTAGGTCACAGCTGAAGATGCAGATAAGTGGGGCATTAGGTCTTCTGGAGCCAGGGACCGAAAGAGGAGGCACGACCAGAAGGGAGGAAAAGCGTAGGTCTAAGGGGTGGGGGTTCTACAAAGGGCTCCCAAAAAGGTGAAGGAGAAAAAGCTGCCGACAGGGGGCTCCCCTAATCCCGAAAGCCTTCTCCTAGTTAAGACTGCCAGGGGCCCCCAGGGTGTGGAGAAAGGCGGTGGAGAGGTCAGGTGGCCAGTCCTGGCTGGGGCAGCCCTTCCAGCTCCTGGTTCTGCTTCAATTCCCTCATCCTGCGGAGAGACAAAGAGGAGTCAGAGGAGAGTGCGGAGGAAAGGTGGCAGGGCAGAGATCCCGTGAGGTAAGGGATTAGAACCTGTGTCGGCAGCGCCGCAGGAACCTCATTATCTTCCGAGCTGCCTGGTCCTGCTTCTTGGTTAGAAAGGAGCCCCTGGTGGAAGAGAGGGAGAGACATAGAATTCAGGCCTCCCAGTCCCCCATCTTAAGACCATAGTAGGAAAAGCAGGCAGGCAGGAAGAGAAGAGGGAGAGGGTATTATCAAAGAGGTAGCAGGGGTCTGTGGAGGGCGGGAGCGGGGGCGGTCCCTACTTGTTTCGGGCCGGCAGGGGGCCTGAGGGCCGGTGAGCAGGCCCTGGCCTGCGGCGGTAGGAGCGGTAGTGCTGCTGGATAAGTACGGCCGCTCTGCGGCTCTGCTGAAACCGCTTCTGTTCATAGTAGCTTCGGAACTTGCTCTGAATCAGGATGGCCGCCTGAGTCATCTTCTTATAGAGTGCAAACTGCAGGGAAGGAGAGAGGGGACAGGAGCTGAAATGGAGGGGCAGAAATCTAAAGCCCTGAAGGTCACCCTTAAGTCAGGTTGATGCAGATCCCTTTCTCTAACCCACACTCACGCCCAGAGCTCATGCCTAATACCTTAAGTGCAATCCAGGTCAGCTTGTGGAGAGAGAGGGGAAGTTAGGGCTCTCAGCACAGGGACTTGTTAGATGGGGTGGTATACCTTTGAGAAAAGGCTCTAACCTGCTTGTACTTCCGATAACAACGTTGGATCACAGCTGCGGCCACCTCCTGCTGCTCCTTCAACCTCCGGCCCTAAGGAAAGAAAATGAGGCCAAATCTCAACATCTCACTGCCCACCTCGTAGACTCTGGACCTACTCCTTCCTCCCGAAGTCCCCTCCTTACAAAATGTTTATTTCACATTTATTTATTTGTGTGTGTATATGGGCATGCCTGTGTGTGGACATCAGAGGACAGCTTGAGGGAGTCAGCTCTCTTCCACTATGAATTCCAGGGACAAAATTAAAGTTGTCAGACTTGGTGGCAAGTACTGGCTCCCCTGGCTCTTTCTTAGTCCCATTTAAGGCCTCTGAAAGAGTGCTCTTTCTGCAAAAGCCCTGGGAGACCCTAAGACCCTGGGCTCTCTGACCTTGTACTTTCTGAAGGCTGTCTGGATGACGCGCGCCGCCTCATACAGTTCCCGCTGCTCATGATCTGAGAGTGTCAGCAGGGCAAAGTCACTTTCCATCTTGCCACTGGTGGATGCAGAGAGGAACTCTGCCCAGGAAGGGGCTGGAGGGATAGCTAGGCGACCTCGCTCCAAGGGCAGTTCACTGTGGGGAGAGAAAGACTATCATGGAGCATCTTAAATCCCTTTATCCCGGCTACAGGTGGCTACTGAGGACAATCTTCAGCAACAGAGTCTGAAAAAGAGTTGCTCCTGAGTTCATCAACGAGCTCTGGTCTCTTCTTGAACACCCAGGGCCTCAGCCAGAATAGTGCTTTGGCTGTAATCAAGCTTGTTTCCTCCCACCCATCTTTCTCTGAAAAAGAATCTGAAGGCTTTGTTCTGAGCTGGTCACCTAGTAGGGGCTGAGCTGGGGAAATGGTCCACATTCTCCAGGTAACTGGCTAGCCAGGACATGGTCTCACTGAGCCCCACAGTGCCTGTCTGCTCCCGTGATGAGGCTCCAGCTTCAGGGAATCCTGAGAAGTCCTCCCGTTTAATCCGCTCTGGTGTGGCTTCGATGATCTGCTTGGCTAGTGAGATCATGTCCACCTGGATGAAGGGAGATGCGTGAACTTAACTATTGATGGTCCAGCAGCACAGCCTAAGCTGTAGCCTTCAACCCCATGCCCTCATCTTTCGAGATGCCACTGGCACAGGCCCCAGGAACTGCTTTTCTGCTAGCTAATTCTGAACTAATACTGCTCATTCATTCATTCTGATTGATTCCCTCTGAGGGACACAGCCCTTCCTGCTGTTAAGTTGTGGAGAACACAAAAAGGGAAGGATCTGCTTCATGCCACCCAAGCACCACGTGTCTCCACAGGTGTGGCCCAAGCTTATCACTCCACTTGCTTCAGGTCGCCAAGAACCAGCCTAGGGCTTAACATAACACATAACACTCCGGTGAATAGCTAGCTGGGAGGCAAATAACACTTCCTACTGGCCACACTCCATTATGCCGGCTTTGTGGAGGTTTGGGTTTGTTGTTATTTTGAGACATTGTCTCACTATGTAACTCTGGCTATACTGGAACTAACAGAGATCCTCCTGTCCCTGCCTCCTGAGATGGAGTTCTTGTTTCCTAATTATACTCAGCCTTTCTAAAGTGAGTATGTGCACAGGTCCTAGCACTTATCTTGAAGATGCTCTTCCCAGCAAGTGGCCCACACCTTTATTCCCAACACTAGAGAAGCAGAGACAGGCAGATCTCTGAGTTTGAGGCCAGCTTGGTCTACAGAACGAGTTCCAGGACTCCAGAGTGACATAGTGAGACCTTGTCTTGAAAAAAAAAATACAAAAAAACCAAAAAGAACCTTTCCCTTCATGGGTTGACAGATGATTGCAACGGTACAGTTCTAAGTGAAATACTCCCCAGGATTCTTAACCTCTCCCACCCCGTGACTGCTGAATCATAAAGTCTGGAAGGAACTAAGCAAAGGGGTCCTGTGTCTACACCCAAACAGTAAATGGTTTTTCTTCTAAAACTGAAGCAGGCTGATCTGTCACCCCACCTCTGCACCTCACTCCGTTCCTAGCCTTTATGAATCTAATCCCGCCAACATAAATAGTACCGGGATCACATCCACAGCTGGTGGGCTGTCAGCATCCTCTGGAGGAGCCCCATCCTTCTGGGCTAGTGCGAGCCCAGAAAGGGAGGGAACAGACTCTTTGGAGTTAGTGGCTTCGTAGTCCATAAAGAGTAAGGGTGTCTCAGGGGCGCCGGAAGAAAGCTGGCCTGGAATCGTCTCCATAGTGATTTCAGAAGCGAGCAGAGGAGCAGGGGGAGGACTGCCATCTGGGGCACTTGAATAGGCTGATGTGACAGAGAAGGTGAAGAGACACTGCTCAGACCTGAGTGGAGGGCAGAATGGGTAAGGACAGTGGGAACTGCAGGCTACCCTGAGTCCCTTACCTCACCTCATTTCAGTTTCTCTGTCTTCCCCCCCCCCAAATATATGTCCATTGTGAGCTACTATGTGGGTGCTGGGAACAGAACCCAAGTCCTCTGGAAAAGTAGCTCTCCAGCCCTTCCCCTGCCTCTTCTTGGTCCCATTATCTCCCATTCCTGTCTCTCTCACTGTATCCCACCCTTTGTTTTGCTCTGGACATTTTTTGGCCAGCTCTCACCAGTGTCTGGGCTGGAGGAAGGTGGAGATAGAGCAAGTGGGTGTTCAACTGAAGGCTCCTGTCTCTGCAGTTCCTCAAGGCAGCGGGCAAGGCGCACATGACCCCGAGAATGAGCCACAGATAAGGGCAGACGGCCCAGGGAGTCAGGAATGCTCAGTGCTTGTCGATTCCAACAGAAAAGGAGCACAGCAGCTTCTAAGTGTCCCAGTGCACAGGCCCACATCTAGGGAGAGAAGGTGGAGTGAGGCCTGCCCTTCTCCAGCCAGTTCTCAGGCCCTGGCCCACTGGGGAATTCTCTGCACTCCTCAAAGGATGACTCCTGGAACTCGCTCTGTAGACCAGGCTGGCCTTGAACTCAAAGACCCACCTGTCTCTGCCTCCTGAGTGCCAGATTAAAGACCTGAACCACCCCCATCCAGTCAAATCATTCTTTTGAAGCATCCATTCCCTCTACTTATTGCCCTGAGGGAACTTGGAAGCAACATCCTCACCAGAGGGGTGCAAGAGAAATGGTCCACGTTGAGCGGGTCAACCTCTTGCTCTAAGTCCAAGCTTCCAGTCTCCACACTCCTAGAGATTAGGAGTCAACAACAAAGCCCAGTCAGCGGGGGGAAATGGGACAAAGTAGGAACATCAGAAGCAGAAGGACTGGAAGTGACTTTAAGTTGGTCAAGAAGTCAATGTCTTAGGTCAGGATATTAGGAATCCTCCAAAAACCAATCTTCGGAGAGCACACCTTCCCATAGTGACCCTGATCCTTCCAGGCAGGGATCCAAGTTCTTACTCCCCTGGGGCTTTAGTCTCAATAGTTGCCCAGTGTCCCCACTTCCCTGGCTGCCCCTGCTCACCGCCATTGGCTCAGAGTCTCAATGAGTCGAGCATAGCCCTGGGCAGCAGCCAGATGCAGAAGGCTCATACCCCGGAAGGGGCTTCCATGGATCAGACGTTCAGGACCTCTCCAAGTGGAACGTGGGATCATGCTCTCTACCAAGACTACCACACGTGCCTCGAAACCAGGACCCTGGCCTTCATCCTGCAGTACACACATCCGTATGCAGAGATTTGGGCTTTTGGTCCTGTAGGTTATCTTACCAGCTTCAGCTTTCTCTCTCACATACACACACCTTTCCCACTTTGGGTTCCCACCACCACTGAGAGCTCACTGGTTCTCCTAATTTGAGTCCCTTGTACACCGTTGCCCACACTGGGCTTCCATACTAGTACTGACTGGTGCCACCATGTTCATGTATGCTTTTCTCCTGCATGAGCCAGCATCTTCTCGAAGCCCACAACCCTATTTCCTCAGAGAGTCAGAACCCACAGAGCTCTTGGGCCCAACACTCCTGATTCCTCCCCCACCCTCACCTTCACCTCCACCCTTCAGATCAGAAATAGTCCAAAGCCTGTCATGCTGAGAGGGAAGAGTACTGGCTGATGAGGCTGGGGACAGGTGAGTGAGGAATGTTACATGCTAGAGCCACTCTCTTTATGGAGATCCTATGCCCCCCACTGTAGACTGTGGTCTTTGTTCTAGAAGTACCTGAATTGGAGGAGCCTCTGGACCCTGGCCAGGTGCCTGCCCAGCTGCTGCAATTTCTGCCATCCGCTTCTCCATTTGCTCCAGCCTCTCCAGGATGGACATCCGGAACTGGCTGTCTGTGGGGTGGGCATGGGAGGCTGAGTAGACAGGATCTAGGTGGTGCTAGCAACATTACTTGGTTGTACCCAAGGTCTGGGGGATGAAGAATGGGATGATCGAGTTTTCTCTTCCCCTATACAACATCCTCCTTACCCACTCATCTACACAGAATTAACCAGGAAGGCTCCACTCTTGAACTAGGGCTGTTAATCTCATGCATAGACTAGAACCAGGATTAAGAACCAAGGCTGGCCGGGCTATGGTGGTGCATTCCTTTAATCCCAGCACTTGGGAGGCAGAGGCAGGCAGATCTCTGTGAGTTTGAGGCCAGCCTGGTCTACAAGAGCTAGTTCCAGGACAGGCTTCAAAGCTACAGAGAGACCCTGTCTCGAAAAAATAACAAAAAAAAAGAACCAGGCTGTTTCCTCCAAGACAGAGCATCAGGAATTCTCCAGTGCCCATCTGGTCCTCAACTAACTAAGCCACATATTGGCATGTCCTCCTCCAGCCTTTTCCTAAACAGAATGTACCCTAAGTTCTTGTTCCTGATACTACCTTTGTCCCCCATGATGGGCTGATGTACTCCAAGGTCCCCCTTCTAGGCTAACCCCCAAAGAACTTGAAGACTAGAACTTCAAAAGCACCACCTCCTCCAGCAGATCCTCTGCAGCTTTGCACCAAGGATTGTTGGGAAGAGAAGGTGACAGAGATGGGTAGCCATGTTCATTCTTCCTCCTCCCAACTCCATGCACAAATTCACACACACACACACACACACACACACACACAGAGTTTATGCACATGCAAACACAAGCTGTATCTGTTCCCTTTTGAGATCAAATAAGGACAAGGAAAGGAAGTGAGAGGGGACTAGAGCCTAGAGAAAACAAGCACAGAAAAATAATGAAGACGGGGGATGTTCTACAGTGCCATGATAGAAGGGAATGATGAGCAGAAACTCAGACAGGACAGAGGGGAACAGATCCAGAAAGTCCCAACCAAGTAATTAGGAAAGAAAATAGGCAAGACCAGATATAGTTCAAGGAAAAGT